ACGCACACATGTGCGTGCACACAAATATACAGACACATAAACACACATACGGGTATAACCAAAAATATGCATACTTACAGTAGGCTTCTGTTCAACAGTAAGGTTTGTATAAATATAAACATATGCGGCATACACAACATAAATGAAGACAGATACACAACGAAAATCAAACAATTACATGAATACGCCTGGCTGGCTGTAGGAAGGTTTGTGATTCAGTGGGCTGCCTAAAGAGGACTGTGTACAATTAGTTTCTCTTACATTCCTCTTTTGCCGTAGCTTCGCAGGCAGCAACAAATTTGACTGTTATTTTGCCTGGAGTTTTTCCGTGTAAGCTTGCTTGGCACAGCTGTGCAATCACTGCCAGCCTGTCTGCAGCCTGGTTCCCTGATGGTACCACTAGCAGCTTCCCTCAGGCTATTCATTAAAAAGGCCAGGGCTGAGCCACCTTGTGCCAGTTCAGGAGACAAATCCCTAAAGGGAACAAACAAGGTGTGACTCCAGATCCAGGTCAATCTGGCAATTTTAAGGCCAAGCATTAGTTGTGCGTTTCCCCAGGCTTTAAGAATAAACAGCATTTTCCCACATTACCAGAGGATAAACAGGAGTATTCACCTTCTTGTCAGCAGAACCAGCGTGCCTCCCTTCCCCACGTCACCAGTTAGGCTTCCAGCTGCTCTGTCCTGTCACCACAGTCAGGACAAGGTCTGTCTTAGCCTCTTTTTTTCCTGCTAGCTGGGGTTCTGCTAAGTCTATTAGAACTGCAAAAGAAGCTGACTAAACTTTATGCTGTGATACTAAGGTCTCTGTGATGTTGTAGTGTGATAAAGCCTGCATTAGGCCAGTTATGGAAACAGATTATAGCACGTCTCCACTGGATGCTCTTAATGTCCTAATTCAGTACTTTATTCATTCACATCTTATCAGCTCAGAAGGGTGTTGGAGGAGGAGGTTCCACAAGATAACAGCAAAGCTAAGCAACAAAGTCACTTGGGAAGTTTGTGTGTCCTTCTTTGCAGAAGCTGTGTTTCAGCTTTCCAATTGTTCATAAGACAGTGAAAATGAACTGCCGATTCAACACATCACTCATGGGCTCTCTGAAAGGAGTAGGAACCCCTAAACCAAAAACTATTGAGTATATAAGGCAAAGACATAAGGTACAAACAGAAAAAAAATCCATTGGTTATGAAGGGCAGTCAAAAAAGGCAGCCTCACCTATAACCTTCATGCAAGCCTGCAAAACTTCAATACTGGCCATACAACATAGCTCATCTTTTTACAGGAGTGAAAAACTATGTTCAAGTCTAAGAAAGTCTACACTGAAATCCAGGTAATAACTGCACAATTATTTATTTTTATTTATCTTATTTGCATTATATTTAATGTATTCTATTATTATACATTCACTATGATCATCATGACTTATAATGTTTAACTTCAAATACTTATCATTGATTATAATTGTTGAAATATATTTAACTAATGTATTTAACTATTTATTAAAATCTATTTATATTATATGAACATTATAAATTAACTATAACTTAATGGACAAAGAAATGAATAGAGGTATTTTAAAAATCACAGAGAAGTTCTAAAATATCCTTTAACTCACAGTCAAGAAGAACAAAAACACCCTTATGAAGACCTTTTATGCCAAGATTGTGTGGCTATCTAAAAATACTACTTCTGAAACTTCTGAAACAAAGACTTATGGATGGTTGCTCTTTCATTCACTTCAACATCCCAAGAAACTGGACCTGTATTAATTTGATACTTAATTGGTATTTGATGGTCCAACTGAAGGGGATTTAAGATAATCAACAGACAAGAAGGCATTTAAATAAAATACATATATATTTTCTATGCAGACAATTATTTCACATATCATCACTTGATTTATTTTTGGTTTTTATATTTCCATTTCTTGATTATTATACTCATATTCACTGTTAAAGTTACTCTTTATCCACTGATGACTTACACAACTATTTTAAAATTATACTAAAAAAAAAATCTCTTAGCTTGCCAATTTTCCTAACTGCACAACATACAGAGTAACATGAGGTCAACAGTACTTGAAAAGTTTATATATCTAGAAATAAAATACAAATTTGAAAAAGAAAATAAGGAATTTTAGGTTCATCTATGTATTATCTGGGCTCCCTCAATCTGGAAGTGCCTATTAAGAAAATACTACCATACTGCTAAAAATAACAGTCTTGTGATGACTGTAATGAGCCTACATTGATGCTATTCTTAGCAGTGTCCATTCACTTTTATTTCTCAGCAGGGTATTTTACAGTTTTAGCATGTTTAAGAGCATCTCCAAAGTGAAAAGTATTATTTAATTCTTGAGGTAACAACACACTGATTACAGAATATAGTTCCTCTTTGAGAAGCTGTGCCCTACATTGTGCCTTTAGACATATAAGAAACTACTTAAGCATTTCTTTGATGCACAAAAGTATAAACTCCTACCTCATTTGTTCGGCATTCTTTGAAATTCTGTAGGTAGAACATAAAAGGGATCTGTTTAATGCAAAATTCCTCCTTCTTGTGACAAAGAGAGTGAATGTTACCAGAGCAGAAGAAATGCATCTACCTTCCTCCATATACAATGCACTGAGAAAATATACGCTGGGACAAACAGCTAACACATCTTATATTGCTTGAAGGAAACAGTTATGTGAACACATAAATACCTCTCAATTCTTGGCACATTGTCTGCCAAACTATTTTAATATCTGACATACATCTATCCCTTCTTAGGACTCCTTCTATTAGATTTACTCATATACTACATAATTTCTTGAAGAAGATTTAAGGGTATGTAAAATTCAAACTAGATAAAGTAACCCTTTACTTTCAAATAAATGAAAATATAAAAACATAAGGCCTATCTTTGCCTCAAGAAAACAGTCATGTTGCTTTATGCTCTTGCAACTGAATGGATATATAACTCAATCTTATATTAGTATAACTATATCCATGCATGAAGTTGATCTAGTATAATTACTTCATTAAAAACATCTATTTAATCAGAACAATTACATTAGTGTAAAATCTATGCACACACTAAGCTTTAGTTGATGTCTGAAACCACGTAAGACAAAGTGGTAAATACATGTTCCTGACTGATCTCAACAAAGCTGAAGCTGCCCCAAACGTGTTCGACATGAAGCAGGACACATAAGCCACGCATAAACAAGTAGAATCAGAATTTCAGAGACCAACAATGCTTATCTGAAGGTTAAAAAAAAAAAGAAAATAATTGTTTGATTTCTCAACAGACAAATAGTGAGGAAAAGTTATAAAACTGAATTATTTTGCCTAGTGGGACAAACTCAAAGGATGACATGCATGCAGCAAACCCACCGAGTCTGATGAGCAGCTCATCTTAGAAGAGGCTGAAAGCTCATTGACAACAGCTGATCAGTAGTGCTTTCTAACAAACAAGAACTGAAATTGAAGACATACAACTACAAACTGGTACCATTATCATCTCTCTGCACAACAGAAGCTCTCCTATATAGCCAACAGCAAATAAAACATGGAAAAAGAGTAGGCAGCATGCTTCCTGAAATGTGCCATTACAGCAGTATCTCAATTTAACCCATAACCACTGCAGAGGAGTAGAAGTTTGACTTAGAAAATTCAGTAAGAGAAACATTAAAGTTGTTCTAAAATTTGAAGGCTGCAGGAGTGCCTCCCTAGCTTAGCACAACACAGAGTTTTTTCTTTCTTGAACCCCCACATACTACAAATGATTTAAGAACAAAATAAGCTCTTGAAACTGAAATATCAACAGAAGAATTTCAAAATTTTATAAAGGGCCCTCCCAAATGGCAATGCTACAGGGTTTAAGCACTGAGTTTGATGTATCTTTTCAGGAGCTTCTAGGTTTTTTATTACATTCAAATATTTCTGTGATTCTTTGAACACAGAAAATCACCTTATTCCTCTTCAGAAGCCAGCAGAAAAAGGATCTTGAAATAAAAGGAAAAAAAAATTGTTTAGCTCTGTAGATTATCTTCACAAAAATAATGAAAGACATCAACAAACAGAATACTGGCAAAAACCTTAGGAAACGATTTAATTGTATCACTATTAACTTAAAATGATCATCCCAGCTTTCCTGGAGAAATGTTACAAATCACTCACTCCTTTCACAATGAAGAAACAGTACCTTGCTCCCTGCAGTAAGCACTGAAAAGACACTGAGAAGGGATTTTGTGGATAATAATCTTGAGGAATTACCTTAAAGACTGAAGGGGAACCATACTCATGTAGAAAATACGTGATGTGGGGAAGGGAAGCAAGGCAGGAGAATTAGAGTAAATAATCAACAATGATCCCTTCCAACGTCGATGATTCTATCAAATTTTCTTATCAGATATTAATTCAGAAGTTACATTGAAATGTACTGAAATATTTCCCCATGTACTTTATTTGACTTGGTCCTGCTCAGACAAAAAAAGCTTGCCTTTACGTCCTGAAAAATTAACAGGTAGAAGATTCAGCATGCACGGAAACATAATGTGAGGAATGAAGGTTACATCCTTTATCACATACTTTATGAGAACTGCTGGAGACAGATAGTCAGGTTACCATAATCTATACATCATCACTTCTCCCTATCTTGACATGTCACCTTCCTCTACATTCCTGAAATCAAATCTTCATTCTGCATTTCAACAAAGCCTAACCACTCCTTCATCCATCTGGTGGAAATAACTCTGGGAAGGAAGTAATTCTGGGAAGGCCTTCTATACTATTCCACCAGATATATTTTTCTAGGCTAACAGACTCTTCTGAAAGTCTAATACATGAATGAAGACATCCTACCCAACTGACTTACACCCTTAATACTAATATGAAGTTTCCCATACCTTCCCTCACTTTAATTTCTGAAATGTGGTTATTTACAAGCTAAAATATTGTTCAATTATTTCCCTTTGTTTGGTCCAAAAAAAAAAACAAAAAACAAAATCAAACAACCAACAACCAACCAAACAAAAAAAAACCAAACCAACTCTAGAGAAAGACACAGTAAATTCAGCACAGAAAGCAATGAAGCAATAGACATTCTATTCAGGCTTCAAAGCCTAGAGACTAGAAATCTTAGGTAGAACACCTAATTCTATATGGCTTCAATTGGATGCATATAGAGCGACCTATATCCTTAAGAATTAAAACTAGTCATGGATGACAAAGCAATGGACAGGAACATGACAAAACCCAGTTTCATTTCTCACTCGTGACCTCTGGTCGTCATATTTCTGAGATAATAAATCTGATTTCAGAAATATGGGGAAATCTATTAATGGGTAAATGCAACAGCAGTATCAGAATCTTCCCAGGCTTTTAACTAGAATTCAGTGCTACTGAATTTTCATCTGTTCAGGATTATAATTAATTTGCCTTCTTGAGATTTCTCTAAGTATATACAAGTAAGAATCTTTTTCGAGATGATTGCTAAAAGATAGGGTCTACAACAATTGATTAGAAGAAATATTTGAATAACAGTGTAATTCAAAAGAGTTTTCATTATTACTGTCCAATTCTGTGTTAAGAAGAATTTCATTTGGACTGTCTATCTTCTACTCTCAGCTCAGAACCTTTAAACTTCTTACATGGGCAGGTGATCATACTGATACCATGACCAGAAGATAATCAATAAAAGATTCAGTAAACAGCTTACTAACTTTTAGAAAGGACTGAGTTTAACAAACTGATGTTTATAGCTTACAGATCCACTTGTGATATGCTTACAAAATGTATAATATGTACTAACCATATAAAAATATTCTTAAAATATTGATAGATCATGTATTAGTTTTTATGAACTGCTTATGTAGTGTATTATGAACATAAATGTAGCTGGATAAACCATGCAAGATACAACTTGCTAGCAAGCTACTATTTACAGCACCCGTAAACACATGTAATACTTCACTGTGAAAAGACCTGAGTAATAGTATTCTGTCTTCACAAGGATGGATCCTTCACAGCCCTCAGCTGCTGATCCAAATCTTATCTTCCCTGCCTGCACAGTACCTGCAGATATCTCAGGCATCCAGGAAAACTGACTAGATTGCACTCATAGTGACATACGGACTGCCAACTCCTACAGTATAAGTAGGGAGCTGAATCCTGTCAGATATTTAACAACTTGTAGGAAATTCCACTGAGTCTTCCATGGAGTGGGTATGTAGGGGAATTTTCTAGTTTCCTTTGAAAACTTCACACTAATGAAAAAACGAATGGATTATTACTATAAATGCATGCAGGTTTTACCCATGTAACAATTATAATATTGACAGTATTTCTGACTTCATGCGTAGTCATAAATTATGTATTCTGCTGTTAAATCAGTAAAAATCCTTTAATGTCAGTCAAATGACCTCAAATCTCTTTGAAAGCAGAATCTGGTCTTGAATGTCACATGAGTGAGAACATAACAAAACGGAAATCTCTTGTGAGAAGGCAGCGCAGAATTTCATGGCACATTAATGAATCTTTTCTGACTGTGGTAAGGCTTTCACTTCACTGACACATGCTAAATAGCACAGACAACCACCAGTCCTTACGGTCTGCTTTACAAAAGAAGTTTCCTGGTAACAATAAATGTCCATCCAAGAAGTTAAATACTATCAGGAAGTTCACTGGAGGAAAAGAAGCACACTAGATGTTATCTACTGAACATTTTTTTTTTCTTTTCAATAGGTGTATATCTTTAATTATGTAATTTTAACAACACTGAAACAAGAAGATAACTTCAGTGATTTGATTCCTGGGTCACATTTCTACATTAATCAAAATTCTACTTTATTATTAGCATCATAAATTGGCTGTTTTCAGGAGAAAGTATCAAGATTGTCAGTTTCCATCAAAGCATCTATCTTTGTAAATCTATGATGAGAACAAGATTTTTTTATTATTTACCTCTAATTCTGTCTTTGGTAGCCAAGTAAAGTACACTATCTCAAATGCAAGCACAATTTGCTATCTGCCAACTGAAGGATTGTGCTGCAGTTCTACAGATTTTCCCAGAGGCACAACCACAAGGCATGACTTTGTAGTGTGACGGTTATGTCCATGAAAACACAGATAAGGCGTCTGGGTTGGAAACTTTGTCAGGTGAACACAGCACCAGACGTCAGGTCTGACTACGTCAGAGTAGTACATCAGAAACATTTTAAGGTTCTGATGGGAGGATAAGTGAATACAAAAACATGTTGCAGAGTGCAGGAAATATCTAAGGGCATCACAGAAAAGCTGTAGAGAGTGATTATATAGGCTCATGGGGATATCAGCAGTTATGAAAAGGACATTGCCAGCCACAACTGAAAAGCAAAGAACAAAGCCAACAATATGGTATTAATCACATGCCCTGTCTGCATATGATGCCAAACTATTCAAAGCACAGAATGTTCTTTATTCACCTCACTTCATATTGCTGAATGAATATAGCGTTTATGAAAATGAGAGATTAAAAACATTGATATCAACCAACCTTTGGGCCAAATCCTACTTATCTTATTGATGCAAATAGTTCCACTGATTTTAATAGAAGTAATTAGCATGGACTTCAATAGAGTTACTCACGGAGTTAGGAGGGCAGGATGTGGCTCATTGCATAAGCAAGCTTCCCTTACCACCATGAATGGTGCCAACTCATCATTTCTGACACAACAGACTCCCAGCTTTTCCAGTAATGGATCCCTTGAAGAGCAGAGAGCTCTGTACATGCTAAATTCTGCAACACTCTTGACACAAGTACAATAAAAACTTGAATGAAATGACCAATTTTCTTTTTACCTCTTTGGAAGCAGTAGACAGAACCCGCACAGCCAGGACTTCATAGCAATTTAATCGCACATTCCTCCAATTCCTTGTGAATGAAACACGGAGGTGGGGTTGGAATTAAGCTTCTGCAAGGACTGCCCATCCTCAGACAATTATCATATACTTGAAGAGGATAGTACAAACTGAACTGAATAAAGGTAAGCCTCCTGGGTACAACAGTGTTTCCAGAAAAAGGTTACTAGCAATAGACAGATCAGCTGCAGGAGATTAGACTCAATGCATTGTCCTTACAGATTGAAATGTGTGGTCTCATTTTTGACCACACCTATTTTCTTATCCAGTATATTTCTGGATGATGCCAGAATTAAGAAGATTTGAGAGATAAAAATATAGAATACAACAAACAATATGAGGGAGAGAAAGAAAATGCATTCTATTTTGATAGCTTGAAAATGATTCTAAAGCTGCTGCCTATTAGGGGTTCTATCCCTGTTCTTCAGCCATGCTGCTACAATGCCTCAGAGTTAGGTGCTATTAAACATGTGAGATGGCAAGAGACACAGGCAAAGCAGAGGAAAGCAGACGTCTGTAACTCTTTTTCAATGTCTTGTATTTGGTAGCAAACAAGGTAAGTTTAAGGCAGTTAAGGCCATTGGAGTACACTGTAACATAAGAATGCCTTTCTTCAGTCCCAGCCTTCCACTTGCTATAGCACATTCTGAATGGATATTTCTAACAGAGCACAATTATTACCTCCTTCTTATTTCATTAAAAAAAATTCATCTCCATCAATCTCAACATTTTATCTCCATCAATCTTGCTTTGTGGGCTGCTGAAGTAAGAACCAGTTTCAAAATGTTCTGCTGCACCCGTTCTCCCTTCTCTCAGTGAGAGGTTATTCACTGCCTTGTGAAACCCTTCACTGGCACTGGAATGTAGTTAAAGGTTCAAAGCTTACACAGATCTATATATTAAGGGAAACAGACTCCGGGCACTTCAAAAAACAATCAAATACAACAAACTTTCCCTGCATGCAGGGCACTGTATCAACTAGACTTAGATCCTGTTATTTGCACATTTTTAAAATGATTATTATCTCAAGCACACAGAATAATGGTTAATATTTCAGATTCTAAAATACAGCGGAGCTTCAATTATCCAAATTCAGTGAACCCAGACAAGGTTTTGCCCCTTGTCATTTATTAATTAAATGGTAAATTGCTTCTATTACTAATTATTTCCACAGATCATGAGCAAGCAGAGCATTTTGGTTACTCACAAACGCGATTATCGAGCTCTATTCAGTGTTTTTCCCATGCTCTTCAGATAGTTGTGATTGTGATGTACTCTGAAAACCCTTCAAAATATTTTTTACAATGTATTACAGGGAGAGCTCCCAGTACATCCTCTGGGGTAGAGGGATCCCCAGGACTGCGGGATGCAGCACTTCTGACAAGCCAAAAGACAGGAAAGTGTGTCAACCAATATGTAGAACAAATGTTAAAACATTTCTTGAGCACATTCTGACAACTTCTGATTCCAGCAGTACGTTACCTTGAGTAAGTGACTGACTGAATATGATGCTAGCAAGTCAGATATTGTGTTAAACTCTTTTTTACAGTTGATCTCCTTTCAAGGAAGGAGAAGTTTAGCTGAAGATTCCTTTAAATGGGAGGGATGTTACAAAGGATGTGAGTGGTTCCAACTATAGTAAGCTTAAAAAGAATATGTGAGAAATTGTAATGCTCCAGACATTGTGTGTTGCACTTTGTAATAATGACTAAGTAAAATGCACAGTGCTATGAATTAAAGAAAGTGTATATAAATAAAATGGGGAAAAAAAAAGAAAATAGAAAAAAGAAAAAAAGAAATGTGTTTTTTAATTCCATGCCCAAAAAGAAGGGATAAGAATTATACTATGCAACTTCCATCAAATGTTGACAGTGACCATGAAATGTAAAAAGGAAGATTTGAGAAGCAGCAGCTAGTTAGAAAACCTATGAAAGAAGGAACGAGTTTAATTCAGTGCTAAGAACACTAAACCTACTTCAATTTGCATATTAAAGCACCATCTTGCAATTATGGTCACAATGCAAGTAAAATCATTTATCTATACGACTGAAAAAATAACAGCAAAATCCACTATGGCAGTATGTAATTTCAGAAAAAAAAAATAATCTATTCAAAGTAAGGAATGTAGTAAAAGAGAAATTGAAAAGAAGTTGGAAGAAAAATGCTTTAAGATGTTAGAAGATGTGTTATCAGAGATTCAGGTCTCTTACATGTAACAGGAAAGCCTTACCTTAGAATAGCTGTAATAATCCTGACCCCCAGTTGTCTGCCTCAATCATTTTGAGGAAAATCTCAGCAGTTTGTCTGGCAGGCACAACAAATTACAGCCTGAGGTACTAAAGAAATCCAGAAACAGTTTTGATTTACCTGACTATGCTAGGTTGTAAACTGTCATAATTTGATTGCCACTTGAGACGAAAATACTTTGCAAGGGGGCAAAAATCTCCAGGAGAGAATCATGATACATCTTTAGATGCAGGAACTTTTAAAGTTGCCCTATGGTAATGCATTTACAGTCATTACTCTGAACTCACAAAACAAATACATAATCACCTGTGAAAGAACATCTCTAATAGGATTTTTTTTTTAAATGAGTTGAACAGAAGGGTTTATTAGAAATAAAAAGCTACTATCCAAAGAGGGGAAGTAATATTTAATGAATAAATAGTGCTTTTTAAAATTATTATTTTTTAATAAAGCTTTAGTAGAACAACTGAGGCCCAAGAAGATACTGAAGAAGCCATTAACAACTTTCCCAAATGCCCTGCACATGATCTGTAAGGCCAACGATGAGATGAAAAATATTTTCACAAAACAAAAGCTCAAATTTTCTGGACTTGTGTTCATTATGGAAAAGTTTATAAAGGCTTGCAAGTGAAACCCTTGCTCTGAAAAGTCTGAGAAAATATGCAACAGAAAGAAAAAATGGTTCCAATCTAACAGTTATAAAGAAAATCATACGTGAATGAACTTAGCCAGTAACTCCTGCACAAAATTGAGGTGGGTTCTAAAAGAATAGAAAGTGATTTAATGCCAATTTTAAAAAAGCATTTTAGGAAGACCCACATAGTTCAGAAAGTCTATAAACTACAACACAGAAACAGTAAAAAACATAATAAATAACACACGTTTGGGCAGATAAAAAAAAGGGAAGATACAACATTATTTTTTTGCAGAGAAAAGTCCTGTTTCACAAATTTACAGAGTTTTCAGGAGGATTCAATGGGCACATCTGCAAGAGATTCAAGTAGTGGTATTTGCTAAAAAAAGAAAAGCAAAAACAATTGAAAAGCCTTGCAAAAGACAAAAGACTCTAAAAGAGAGATACCATGACATAGGAGAAAAGAGCCTCTCAGACTAATAACTGTTTGCACAACAAGTAGAAGCAATAAACTTTCAGTTCTTGCAATGGAAGGCAACTACTATCAGAGTCCCACATCAGTTTGCATTAAGACCTGTTGTGGTCAATATGCTCGTAAATGGTTGGGGAAAGAACAGGACGACTGATACAACCAACTTTGCACTTCATTCAAAAAAATACAGCAAAAGCTAAAACTGAAATGTTGTAGAAAGTCCTGGTAACACTGAGAAGCCACACAACAAAGTGAAAAATGAAAATGCTAATAACACACAGTAACGTCCATGGGGAAAATGACCCCACATATTCATACAACACAGTAGAATCTAAATTAGCTATTACTACATAAAAAAGAAAGTAGGGAATCCTTGTAGGTATGCCTGTGAAAGCACCAGCTCAATACTCAGCACTGATCACTGAGGTTCAGGATGAGGCTGGGAAATATTGAGACAGAAATAGAAAACAAAACTTAATTGATAATTATGCCCTTCAAATAAATCCATAATAGATTCACATACTGAATACTATATGTAGGCTTGACTTTCTACTGCAAAACAGGATGTAAGCAATCTAAAATAATGGAAAAAAGTGCAGAAATATTCTAAGTATGGAAAAACTTCTGCACAAAGAAAGATGAAAAAGAATTGGATTCTTTGCCCTGGAAAATAAATTATTTAGGAAAATATAGAGGAGATTTATAAAATCATGACAAATAAGAACAAGGTGAACAGTTAATAACTGCTCCCAAATTCTAATTGCATATTTCTAGGAAGCAGTCAAAGAAGTTATCAAGTACCAGGTTCAAGACAAACAAAAGCAAGTGCTTTGTCACACGTTATGTAAATAAATGGAGGAATTCACTGGCATGGTATGTTTTCAATGCCAAAAGTAAAAATGGTTTCTAAAGGAAATTGGACAAAATCTTAACAGAAAGATGTACCTGGGCTTTTAAACACAAAGATCTAAAAGCAGAACACATTACTTTGCACAATGAAACTGAAGGCTCTTCTGCCATTTTCTAAACAGCAGGACGAACCAGTCTGACAAATTTATCAGAGAGCAGCTAAGCTTCAAGATAGCTAATGCATAGATCACAGGGATTCTGGCTTCACAATGAATTTATGGAGCACGTGGATTAGGGTTGCAAGTGATGATTTACAATCGCATTGTCAACTTGCTGGATATTGATTAATATCTTTCCCAGGTACAATTATAGCTAAACTCCATTAAGAACAAAGACCTACGTGTGAAACAGCAAGAGCACTGTTTAGAGAACAAGGTGTTCTTTCAGGAAACTTGTGATACGGATACAACAGGTCTTCCTTGCTGGCTGGTTTTCCAGTTGGTGGAATTCATTCCTATCTTAAAAACCATGTACCTTAATTAGTCACCAGCAATAGCCACTTTGGTTCTAATGGGTATTCAACAGCCACATGATGCAGTGATTTCTCCAGGATCTGCAGTTAATCTACTGCCCCACCCAAAAACATCTTTTAAAAACTAACTTGAAACATTAAGGTCACAGAGAAAAGCACTCAAAAGTAAGAAAATATCAAGATGAAGTCTGTCACAACAACTGCACTGTTACAATACAGTCTTACACGCTACGATTATACATTTTGTGTTCTGTATAATGGGGAGCAACACGGCATGAGAATAATTCAAATATTCTTTTTTTATCCTCCCTGTTTAGTGTGTGGCCCCAGGCCTTGTTTACTGAGAGGCATCCAAGTCTTTCATGAAATAAGATGCTTTTTGTTTCTGGCTTTTCTGTGGTACTCATCACTGCAGTGTCTGAATATCTCAACCATCTTCGTGAATTGATCCTCACAATGTATCCTTAGATGTCTGGAATGATTATAATTCCTCATTTAAGAAAATTATGAGAGAAATGATGTGACTTCTTTGTGGCCACGCAGGAAGTCTACATCAAAGACAGGAAGGCAATTTAGATCTTGTTCAAAAGACTACCAAGCATCTATTGAACTCATTCTACAGAAGGAGCACTCTTAAGATTTGTGCTCTTCCTACAGACCTGCAGCTTGTCCACAGCAAAGTTCTTCAATAGGGTAGGGATACCAGGGATGGACCAAGAGGGAAAAGCTGTTCTAGGGGTTAAAAGCTGTGCCATTTGCAAAGCCCTTGGAGGCAGATTATTGGTTTTAGCACTTAGTTTTTACAATGTTTTGCAGAAATTTCTCCTCCTGATTGGTTATCTGTAGTATTCTTATTCTTAATACATGAGGTATTTTATATTCTATTTTCTAAAAAGCAGGGGCAGTGGCATGTATAAGACACTAACAACTGACATGTGGATTATTTCTGTAATGTTAAAGATTGCAACTTATTGTTGGGATTTAGTTCACGACTACGAATTACAACTTTGTGAAATAAACTTTATACACTGTACTTGTGCTCTAAGCACATTAAAATACACAGAAAACTACCCTAGTGTACATTAGGAGTCTGTTTCATGCTTACTGAAGCCAAGAAACCAAGAGTAAAGCTCCATCTCTGTTCTTCTATTGTTTTCTATTGTGACTACAAATTGCAGCACTTGTGGTCGGTAAGATCACCCACTGCAGGAACAACTTTCAGTTCTCTGTGACAATAGGGTGAGCTGAGGACAGACTGGCACTGTTTGGAGATGAATTTCCTGCTCTTTGTGGGTTTCAGTTAGACTCTAGCATTATTTGAACTTTTGCGGTTTAATTCTCTTTGTTGTTGCTTTAATTCTAATGGCAGAAAACAGGAGAAGAAACAACACCCCTTCAGAGGCAGTGAAATGCAGTATCTGAGGAGCACATCGCCATTTTTTCTCTTTCTGGAATTTTAAGATCTAAGCAAACAGAGGACCTAGCAATCTTATAAAATAGCAAAGGATCCCAGGGCTTTTTATTTCCTGCTAAATATACTATAAATCATAGTTATGATGATATAGGCCTTCTAAACAAGCTTCTCTCCATTAGCATGCAACCACTGCTATAGGTTAACACTCACTAACACTCTTTGTTAAGGACCAAAAAGGAAAAAAAAGGCATAGAAGAATGCCTATTGCATTTGAACTATCTTGCAGCAGCAGTATTAGTTGTACAAGACATGTAGGAAAGCTTCTGTCAGCCTGAGACTGAAGTGTTTGCTTCACTTGATTATTATGATTTATATTTACTAATGCACGTTATTCAAAAAACATGACATGTTAAGTACTTCAGGAGCAATGGAAGTTCTTGGAAAAAGCACTGGAAATGGTCCAGCTTCATGTTCTCAATGTACAGAATTTATGGACGCCTACAATGTTGCTCTTTTCTCTTTCCACCCCCAATATCTGTAGGCCAAATCAGCTAGCTTTACAGTGAAAAAGTAATGAAAAAGATGTTTTCCTCTGGCCATGTGTAAGTCTAACTGGGAAAGAATATTTTTCTCCAGCTACTGGTGGCAGGCATCAAGAGACCCTTTCAAATAGCAGTGAACTTCATCCACAAAAATGAAATCAAGAACTATACTTCAATAACTAGATTTATTAAATTCTTAATAGGGGTCAGATCTGTTTGTTTTGTTCTCCCCTCACAGACTCAGAGGACATTATAAAATAATATTTGTTATGTATATGCAGGGATTTTCACTTTATATGTTTGAAATGAAATCATAAAATAACTCCAATGTAAAAGTAAATAAGCCACTAAAACAAATAACAAAAGGCTTCTCCGAGGGGGAAAGTGCCAGCTATGGGATAACAGTCACTAACTACCCCCATGAATTTTCTCATATTCCAGGGATCACCAGCACAAGGCAGCTTTAGTTTTGTCCATCTCTACTAATGTGCAGAATGGAGCATTTCACTTTCTTCATTCCCTCATCCTCTTGGGTGACACAGCTTCTTATCTCTAGTTTCTGTTTCTAGCCATCTCCCACCAAGTACTTCAGGAAACAAAAAACCTAAATGAAGATCAGAGCCTGTTCCATTCTGTGCCCTTCCCCTTTTTTTGCCTCCTCTTTTCTTGCATTTGTGCAGTGTTGTGGCACCTATTAACTACCAATGTTTTCAGAATGACATTATACAAGGTGCAGGATGTACCACTGTGCCCTAAAAATATCAACAACTGCATTAGTCTCACAATAATTAATGGCAGGCATTATGCAAATGACAACTTTTTCACTGCAAAATAATGACATTTCTTCATTTTGAGCAGAGTTATGCAAAACAATGAATTGGAGATGATAAATCACACAGGAGAATTAAGAAAGCCATAACGTTCCTGCCCAGGCAGGCAGAAAGACAGACAGACCAACGATTTAGAACACATTGTTTGTTCTCAAATCACCATTAAGAAATAAATAAAAGCACAGCCAGTCGGTCATTAGAACGTATGTGTAATTTAGTTTCCCCCCTTTAGGCAACTATGCATGAGAGGATGTTAAATTCTAGCAATTGTATTATTACAAGTCACAAGCAAAAATTTTTTTATTAACCTTAATAAGTCATTCACTCAGAGACTACAGTCATCGGGCAAATAAAATGTATCACATGTCATTCTCCTACACATTAACTAATTTCTTATGCAAACATCACAATGTATAGCAATTACTGCTGCTCAAAAAAAAAAAAAAAACAACCCAAAGTCAGTTTCAATTTATTTTATTGCTTTTGTGCTTGGCCATTTCCTGTAGCGCTTTATTGCCTATGCCCATATTTTAGGTGCAAATGAAGTCCATGAAACAAGAAGCTAATTTTCTGAAATGTTCCCACACCTTTTTTTGCTTGTTGTGACTGCTGGTGGAAAATGCTGTGAGATTGCCCTGCGAGCCTCGAGAAGCTTCTCAAAGGCAAAAGCTAATGCTGACCAGCTGTGGACATCCTCCCTGCCCCAACCCTTTCTCCATTACGTACTTCCCATCTTCTGAAAGAGTGATTCCTGCCTGGTGCCTCCTGCAGAGCCTGGCACGAGGGCTAGGAGCTGCTATTCCAGCACCACTCCCCAGAGTGCTGGCTTCCCAGGAGACCAGACTGAAGGGTAGGTTTGAAGTCCCTCCACAAAACACTCCTCCACTGCTCCTTAAAGTGCCTCCTGCTGGAACTGAAGTATCTATAAGCTTTTTAATAGATGGCACTCCTGATTCTTCCTTTCTGGTGATTCCTGCTGGGAGACTGTGATGTATCAAAGAATTACAGCAATTAAGGTTGCAGAGACCTATGGTATTTAATCATTCCCTCCATACTCCCTCCTGAGTATGGGTATTCCTTACGCTTTTTTTCCTGATGTTCTACTTAGTCTAACTTGAAAGCGTGTCAAATAGCTGGGCATGCTCCACTTCCCTGGGGAGGTTATCTCACTGTGACATGTCATGAGACTGGAAGTTTTCCAAAGTATTCAGTGTAATTTTACTTCTTTAAACTTAGTTTTCAGGATCCGCGTAATGCCAAGCAATTTGTTTTTTTCTAGAGTCTGGAATTGCACCAGTTCTGTACTCCTCACATTCATGGCTCTAGCATGATATTTAACAATAACATGCACTGAAAAAAAGTACCTATAATATTTGCAGCACTGAAAGATTACCCAAAGACAGTGGCTTCTATCCCTCAGAGTTGTTTCAGATGAGGACTGGTATGAACATGAAAACCATGACCAAACCTTAACAATAGCTGTGGGGTTATATCTCCCTCCCAGTCACATCAGCCACTCTCCTTAGGTGGCAACTTACTGGTGGCAACTTACTGGTGGCAACTCTAAACACACAGATAGCAGACTGTAAGAAGGAGTACATATTCCGCGTGATGTCTGGAGATTAATTGTGTAGCTCTTATTAAGCACAGTGAGGGGGACTGGAAAACAAACCATTTACGCAGCTCCAGCTGTATCTCAATCAATATGGAAAATCAACCACCAGACTTTCTTCTCACCAAACGCTTTCACTCATAGATAACTCAGTCCCTCACTGACAAAATCATACAAAGAGCCCTGAAAAACAAATATTTGTGTTGAAAAAAATGGGTGTCTTTGGAAACAAATGGGTAGCAGTTGATGCCCCACTTCCCACATCCTCCCCTCTTCCTATCCATTTCAAGACTTTCAAGACTTGGTGCAATTTCCCTCCCTTGGAACACTGCAAAAAAAAAATTCTCCACCTGCAGCCTCTCATCCGGAAGTTAATAACATTTTGCAGCTCTCCTTAAATAAAATCCAGCCCATCCTGGATCAATAAGACTGATGCCTATTTCCCTAATGGCAGCCGATTGCCATTTGCTATTCAAATCAGACTAGATAAATTACAGTACATGCCAAGGAACAGGCCAGTGAATTAAGACAAGCCTCCTGAGGACCAGCGATATTATTAATCTTTTAAGACACTATCATATTTCTTCTTGACAGTGTGCGTAGACTCTCAGACATGCTGCACCCAGATTGAAATATCAGCTGCTGCACAAAATCAATAGTGTTAGAAACACAATAATTTTCTGTCTGCAGGGCCCCCAATAAGCAGCACTTGTGTTTCTCTTTCTTTCCACATCTCTGCTCCAAATGCATTTGTTTTAAAACCCAGGTCTCAAAACTGAATAATAATTGTGGTGGGCAAAGTTGCTTTTGTTGTCATCCTTTGCCACAGCAGCCACAACTGTGATGCCTGATAAGGTTGTGGTTCTCAGAGACAGAGTAAGGTTCTCAGGGGTCAGATGCTCACCGTGTGTATTTTATCCTTCTCCCCATAGCCTCACGCTCGGTCTCTTACTCTCTCACTGCAGACATTATAAAGACAGATATTGCTAGAGCTATTGCTATCCCTAAGAAAAATGAAAACGGGGACCTTGGACATGAACTGACAAAGGGAGACTGTACATGACAAGAAAGCAAAAGGCTTAAGGGATTTCTCTTCACAGGAGCAACAGAAAGGATCAATTCAAACAATTTTGATCTCTTTAGACCTGTGCATGAATTCAATTGAGGCTCCGACAGCCACGCAAGCTGCCCCTCTGGTTTCTCAGCTGCTCTTCATGCTAAAGGGGAGAAAGATTCTACCACTGATAACAGTCCCAAGAATGATATTTTATTATTTACTAGAGCAGTGGGCTTAGAGAAAAATGTATAGATTGGGGGATTGGCAACAAGATGTAAAAATGAGGTTTTTTCCCTCATCTTTGACGTGATGTAGTTCAGTCGGGTTTTTCGTTGTTGTTGTTGTTTGTTTTGCTAAGTATATATACATACAAAGCACACCAAAATTGAAAGTCCCCACACAATTATAAGCATGGATGTGTTCTGCACATACATGGATAAAATATATATATATCTACAGAAATGAACCAGAGTAGATAAATCATCTCCAGGTTGGCTAAGCTGCTTTATAGGATTGCCAGATTTCTGGCATCCCAGGTCAGCAGTGACCAGAAAGCTGATGAATGTCCCAACTGAGTGAGAGGAGTAGGGCGATGAAATCATTCAAGTTACATCACAATTAGTTGCCTTCTGCCCTCAAAATATTGTTAGCAGCATTGGAAGGCCAGACACCAAAAATATTAACTCTCTGCTTGCTCTTGCAGAATGTCATGGGCTTAAATTCAGTCTCCCTTTAGCTTCCATTTAGAAAGCAGCATGAACCTAGATGGGCTTTTTAGACAATCCCAAAGTTAGCGGCCTCATCATACCAGGGAACCCTGTAGTGCCTTCATGAGAAGCTAGCCTGTGCTGTTGCACAGGTCCATACATTCAGAAGGGAATGTAGCTCCTCTCCTCCCCAGTGCTCTCTGAGCAGCATCTCTCCCTGGAGAGATGGCAATCTCTGCCATCAAAAGTGAACAGAAAATTCTCTTCATTGACGTCTTTGTGTAAAGCAGAAAGAGGATATTATGATGAAATGACACGTTGATAGCTCTAGAACTAATGCATTAACACAATGCAATTTTAAATGAGAAAATGAGTTATTTCCCAGTAACTTGTGCAGCCAAGGAGTGCCCTTAAGATCTAGTTCTTGCCCCTGGTTCTCCAGCAGTTAGATTCGATTCACATATTTGAGTGAAATGGCTGCTGATATTTACAAATATCACCTTACTTTCAGCAAAGTTTTTTATGCCGCTTGCGGCCCAGGAAATTGTGACTGCACTTTGTATTCTTTCAATTCATCACCTAATCTTTTCTAAATTTATCATTTTTCTAAATTAAATTCTGCTTTCATTTCTGCAGAAATAAAATGCTCCTGAATGAATAAAAGATGTCTTGGTAACTGGACATGAATTTGGGTAGCTGGAACTGAGAATCAGCTGGGAAAACATGCTCATAAATATGATCTTGTGAGCCATGTGCATGTGGATTCCTAAGTGGTAAGGCTTATAAGCATGAGTACAAGGCCATGAATAAGTCTTTTAGACTGGGTTATAAGGAAAAGGTCTTTTGTTATAAGGGTAGCGAAGCACTGGCACAGGTTTCCCAAAGGGGTGGTGGATGCCCCATTACTGGAGGTGCTCAAGGTCAGGCTGGATGGGGCTCTGACCAACCTGACCTAGCTGTAGGCGTCCCTGCTCATTGCAGGGAAGATGGACCAGATGAGCTTTAAAGCTCCCTTCCAACTCAAACAATTCTAATTTGCTATGATAAGCAAACGATTTGGAGGCTGAGGAATATAAATACTGAAGAACCAGAACTGATGACATCACTGGCCCATGAAGGATGGGATATGAACCTAACTCTTTTTCTCTCCTATCCATCCTCAAATTACTCCTCTCTTTGCTCCTCCCGTTTCTCCTGATCTCCCGCCTCTGCTATGTCCTTCAAGTATAGATCATCACTGCTTGGATTTTGCACAGCAAAAAACCTCACACATTAATTCACACAGTACTAGAGCTAATAGCAGCGTGGTTTCTTAGTAGATGTCAGGGAACTCATTCTAAGACAACTGGGACCTACAAGTCCACTGAGATGGAGAGCGAAGAGAGAGAAGCTTATTTTCCTAGAGCAGGTAAGAGGCTCAAACAATGTATACAGCAAGGAACACCCTAAGTCAGGCCTTCTGAGAAGTTCTAGTGGCAGTCCTGATAATGTGGTGGTAGCTATAAGCTACCCTCATAACCTGCCATATCTATGCAGAAGGCCTCAAAGTTTTAATCAGGCTGCTGCATGGTGTCACAGACACAAAACTGCACACACCTCACCAAAGTATATGACAGACAATACGTTAATACTCCCATCTTCGTGCCTGTAAGCATACTAAACACCTGACTATTTACATACACTCCCCCACATATATCCTTCTCCAGTTGTAAAAGAATATTCTCATCAATCACACTAATTTCTTCCTTCCTTTTAAAGTGCCGTTATGCACTATCCTGTGCCCTCCATTATCCTCCTATTTGCAAAAGAAATAATTTCTGCAGTTACTGTCCATACAACTATTTTTCAGGTTCCCTTGCTATTTTTCCCCTGGGAAGCAAGAATATCAGTGCAGTGTGCCGGTATTAGCAAGGCCATGTAACTAGATGGACTCCTTCGTGCTGAAAAGTAGTCTCCTGAGATTTAAAGGAAGCTGTGCACATCTTCCTTCTGACATTTCTTTTTCTAAAGTAAAGGATTAGACTGAGGCCAAAAGTAAAGTACAAATAAAGCACTTGGGGTCATTGCTGCTGGTCAAAGCTGGTTCAGAGATGATTCTCTAGACAGCCTCTTCTGGATAGATCCTGCTGAAACTCAGTCCATAGACTGAAATGTTTAAACACTATTCAGAAGTTAAAACACCAGTGACAAACCCAGTTAGGTTTAAAGCCAGATTTCCATTGCAAAACACCCTGCATGCCATCCCTGCTGACAGGCGATGCTCGGCACCACTGTCAGCTACAGGGTACAAAAGAAAGAGGAAGAAAGTAAATGCACTGCAAGTTTAAGACAGAGACACATACAGCTAGCTGTATGTTATTCTTCCTCATCCCCAGTCTTTGCCCTAAGACATTGCTCTGATTTTGCAGTACAGAAGAGAACTGGTCTTTGCACAGAAATCCACCCACGGGCTCTAACTCCAGAATACTTTGAGGTATCTTGTGCTTGGCCTCTTTAGTCATAGGCGCTGAACAAGACAGCCCTTTGATGAGGAAGTGGCACAGGGACCTTAATCGAGCTGTGGTTGTGATTCTGACAGTCTAGTAGCTCACTCTACGGAAACAGATGGGTAGAGATGGAAATTGCAAGTGTTTTTTAGGGGAGTGGAGCTGGGAGAAGAGTGAAAGGATGCGATCTCCATGCTAGAAGGGTGGAAGAGAGAATCATTGCAAATCAGATGACATGGGTTGTAGGGAATACATTACGTGAGAAAAGGAAGATCTAGCTAGAAATAGCCAAGACAGATGCAAAAGGGAAATCAAAGAATGTAGAACAATAAGAAAATTAGTTGAGATAAATCAGGTCTTGAAGGTGGTTGGGGGAAGAAAGCTTAAGCAGTCAAAAGACACTAAGAAAGTCAGTCAGACTTCACCTCACTAGCGCAGGATGGAGTGCTCTCCCTAAAGGGCAGCTAGATGAAAGCTTTGTTTCCTTCTCTGGTCATTATAATCTCTGTCTTAGCAATAAACTGAGTGCAAACTATTTTTGAGAGCTTTGCCAGCTTCTTTCCATACCACTGTCAAAACCTCCCTGAATTGCCACAAAGATATCCAAACAAAGCATTTGTTAGAAAACTTAAATCTTCTCACCTTCTTTTAGTGACCCAGTACAGCTGTGGTTAGAGGTAACAGGACATTACTGCTGCCCAATTGGTACATACCGAGCACTGTGAAACAAGTCTGAAGCAGGTAATGAACTTCTCCATGGTCCACTGAAAAGAAATTGCTACCGACACGCCTTGGAGGCACTCCTAACAGAGGAGGTCAGGGAGAAAGACTCCGAAAGGCAAGACACTAAGAGAGCACAAGCACCCTAAACCCTCCCTTTGCTTCTAGTGGAACTTGTTACATGATCCCATGCTGCTCTGGGAGATGAGACGTACATCTGCTCAAGACTCATTTGATGATTCCTACAAGTAAGCCATGACCTCTATCTGAAGAAATGGTCACTTCAAGTCACGGCCAGTGCCCGCTGCTGGCAGAGGTAGGGGACACTGCACACGTTGGCAGCCCTGCTGCAGCTCTCACATGGGTAAAAACGTATTTCTCGCAAACTGACATGTTCTGTCCCCTCAATGGAACCTTTGCAGGAGACACTCCCAGATCAGTTACAGGTTTTAATTATGAGATGACAGTACCAATGGCTGGCTTTGCTTGAACTTGCATGTGTCACTGAAGCCGATGGGAAATATGTAAGAAAGAGACCCAGTTTAATTAGCCTGAATATTTTACAGTGATTATTTTCTCCAAGCAAACCCTCCCACATCTTATTTGTCATCTGTCAGGTCGCTGTTCTTATCCACCACAATCTCTCCTTGCCTTTCAGTGTCATAAAAAACCAGTGGCAAAAATGACAGACAGATGCAAACAAGATTTTGGTAATTACAGCACTGTGGCTGGTGGTTGTTTGAACATCGTTTTATTTCTTCCAATCAAACAAGTCCTTGGACTTCACAGCCCTGGAGCTTCAGACAGGGGTGAAGCTGATTATATTATGACATTACAGCGCAGACTGGCAGATCAGACAAAGTGGATTTCGCTCAGTAATTAAACTGCAGTATCTTTCGTCTAAAGTCCAGGGCAGGATTAATCGAAAGGTAGCTCTTTATCATTGTGATTAGTGCTGGGATTTGAAGAGTGAGTCCACAGATTTCTGATTTGATATCTAGTCCTGGGTACCAGCTTATCAGTGGCTCCACATCTGTCTGACTTGTAAAAATAGCATGAGGTCAAGATGCATTCGCCAAGTTGCACCATTCCCTTTATTTTATTTTTAGCTGGAAGGATTTCAGATTGATTTAAATATTCTGTGTCTTTCTGTGGCAGTATGAAGATTATTATTTAAGAGCTGTTAGCATACAGCTCCCTTCATCCTAAACTGCACCATAACCATTTGGAAGACTACATTTTCTCCGTAGCTTCACTGTTATCCCTCAGGGTCCAAAAACATCCACCTGATCTTAGGAAAAAGATAGTAGCTTCATAACTGCTCTAAGGTGGTCTAGCAAATGAAGTTTAAAGAGTCTCAAGTTTTCGAGGAGCTATAATATCTGCTGGATGAAAACACAAGCTGAAGACCTTGTTTCTGTGTCACCATTATATAAAATTCCTAGCATCAAGTGCCAGCTGATGCATTTGTTTGTTTGTTTGTTTTCATTTTATGTTTTAAGTTTCCAAAGCTCTTATTTCTCCTTCTAACTTTAATAAACACAGAGATGAAAAATCTGGCTCTGCATAGCCAGACATCTTCCTTATGCTGCTGGCTGGGGAAGCAGCACTCCTGGCATACTCCCTAATTTACTCACAGGAGATTATCTACAGGTGGAAGGCAGGGAAAAGAACTGGATCCTTCTTTGGATTTTCTCCCGTAAGGAACTGTTCTATTTAGGAAATGGAAAAAAATTAAATGTAAAAGAAACAAAAGCGCTACTTCTCCCTCCCATCTGCAAAACAGTCAGGATGTGACTTCAAATTCCGGACATAATCTCCACCTAAAGCCTGCTGCAGAACACACTGTTTCTGGCTAGATCCAGGGGGGTCTCCCCAACAGGAATGCCAAAAGTTTGAAAAAGAGTATGGAGGGTGACTTGTATTTGCCCTTAGAAACTGATATGCATTTTTAGGTTCTTTTCAAAAAGTTTTCAAGCCATGTCAGTTAAAGAAACTGGTGAGTCACAGGCATTATTACTAGGTTCCAACTTTTTCCCCAACAAAGGCTAATTAAAATATATATGTGTGTGTGTGTGAAAAATTCAATCTATTTGCAGCTGAATGGGTGCTTTTTTTTTGCTTTGTTTTGCAAAAAATTTCTTTTACTGACAGCATTACGATTTTTTTTTAAATGCAAAACTGTCAGCTGAGTATCAGAAATATTCTCTCTGACAGTCAATTTTTCAGCAGAATTCAAGATCTTCAGCATTTAAAAATGAAAGAGCAAAGGAAAGAAGGAAAGAAAAGAGGAAAGGGAAGGGAGAAAGGAAAAGGAAAAGGAAAAGGAAAAGGAAAAGGAAAAGGAAAAGGAAAAGGAAAAGGAAAAGGAAAAGGAAAAGGAAAAGGAAAAGGAAAAGGAAAAGGAAAAGGAAAAGGAAAAGGAAAAGGAAAAGGAAAAGGAAAAGGAAAAGAATGGAGAAAGGGGAAACAGGAAAGGAGAAAGGAGAGAGGGAAAAGGGAAAAGGAAAGAATCTCACTTTATACAGATTTGTCGTCCACAGAACAGGTACTGTGCCTACCACAGTCTGCATGATTCAAAGCTGCCTTGGAATAGCTTGGCCCATCTCTACAACAGGATTATCTCCAAAATGTCCTTTGACATTTTGCCTATAGCAATGTCTCCTCTCGTTTGTATGAATCTCTGATGTAGATTATGAAGACCTAAAGCAGGGCAACCTCTTAATTTCTACTCAAACATTTACTACAAACAGACCCTAATTCTGTTTGGGAACTGGGGCAGTACTACAATCCAAATAACAAACTAAACAATTCCCTAGGCAAATGAACTATTTTATTTGAAGTTTTATTGTTATTTTTGTAATGGAATTTGGATAGAAAAAAATTCATAAACATTCATTTTAAATCTTGAGAGCTATTTCATAGCTTTCAAAGCCACAGAAGACCCTCAGTATCTTGCAGTACAGTTTTCATCCAGTAATTCCTATAGCAATCCTAACAGCTAGAGTCTGAATGGGCAGATACCTTTTACCAATACACAGTCCCCATTTAAAGAATTAAACCAGCACGATATAACAAAATAATGCTTTTGACATTTATTTGAACTAGTACTTTCACTGCCCAAGTACTTGTGAGTACAGAGAGAAAAAGAAACCCAGCCAAGGAAACAGGCAGAAAACACCATTCAAATGAATGACGATAGTGCACCTCTTGGTCAACTAATAAAAACACTGATAAGTAACACAAATATTATGGACACAGGCACAGACAGAACATAATTTAAGCAATCTTTGTTTAAATGGCTAGCAAAATATGCACTAAAACCCCACTGCTGTCATTCTTTATAGAGGTGTGAAGGTGTGAATTTTATTCCAGGTCATGCTGCTGATACTCAACTTGCACAGGGATTTCAGTGCTGGTATTCAGACCATGAAACTATTTTTCAGACCAAAATCAAAATGAAGTGCAAATGAGATCCACCAATGCTGATCTCATACTGTTTCCCTTCCGTCTTTCACCATTCTCCCCCTGAAAATTCTAAACATGTTATTAAAATTTTTTTAACCCATCTAATAAGTATCAGGCTTTATATTTACATTTATATCTTTTTTTTTTCTCATTTCTAAGTCTCTGCGTTATGCTTTGATCATGATTCAGTGTCTTCTTTCCAATCATGAGGACTAGAAACTTTTACAAAAAAACCTGAGGTTCTTGACATTATCTGTTTACTTCAAGAGTGGAATTTTTAAGGAAAACACCAGGTCTTATGACACTTCCATTAAAACTGCAACCATTGCCAGCAAAGCAAAATATTAATGTAGATGTGCACATCCCTCTGGATCTCACATTATGCATAAACACTGAAATTCCACTAATAGAGCTTTGTAGCTGAGCTGCTCTGAAGAAAAGTTGGTGCTGTAACGTACCCATGATTTCACAGATCTCTCCATCAGTGCTTCCCAAAACATAGGAACAGACCCTAAAATGCTGAATCCTGGCTTTGGGACACAGTGGAAAATCTTGTATTACTATAAGTCAAAACAAATAAGATTTGTCCCAGTGTACATAGATCCAGAATTCACGTTATATTTTACAGAGTTCCTAAAGAAACAGAAATTGCCACTACCAACTGCTAGGAGAAGGGGAGAATACATGCTTCATTGAATGCTGTTGCTCTTTGAAATTAAATGGCAACCGAAGGATTGTTAAATCCAGACTTGAGAGGAAGAGAAATTCCCAGACATCAAAACCAGAAGTAACTGCATATGTTCCCCAAACTCAGAAGATGCTGTCAGCACCTAGTTTTTAGGCCATATGTTATTCAGAGGAATAAAATCGATCCATAAACCTAACCACGAAGTTACCATGAAGGCTGTAGTTGTGATACACTGATTAAGAATCTGTTTCTCTCAATTAGAGACATCACCATAACTACCTTCAGCTGAGTTACTCGCACTCTTCTAATGTACTCAACCCCAAATGATATTTAATATAGTATACTAAGCATGTCAAGCATACTTTCCATTAATAACACTTTGCACTTCTATTTTGCTTTTTATCCCAGGAGCCCAAAGCACTCTGTGATCATGAATTAATCAAAGTTACTAAACCTTCTGCATCAGAAATAGTTGGCCAGAGTCTACACCATGACCCAAGGACAATAGGGGATGTGAACCTGAGTGTTTTTATCTTCTCTCCTGAATATTGACCAGAAAATAAATCATTAAGTCACAAAATTAATGGACAGAGTCTTCACCAAATTCACTGAATACTGTGTACAATCAAAATACATTTCACAGTGTAAGCAAAGACCATAAACTTTGTCTTTATCAAGGTAGAGCAAATGTAACTGTCCAGTATGGAACACGAACACATCAGAGAAGAAGATAAACAAACTGATCTCAGTAATCTCTTTTCTGCAGGTCTGGTTCTAGGTGAAGTTTCACAAAGCAAAATCCTTCAGACCTGATCAACAAAATACAGGTTTCTGCAGAAAGTATCTATAGATTGCTTTCTGGAAAAGGTTAAGAAACAGTTGGCAGTATTTAAGAGCTCCTCAGATTTCAACACTGAAGAAATCTATCCTTTCAAGTTCCTTTAAATAGAGCATAAAAGCCTGAAGTATCTTGCTAGCTCTGACTTGGACTCTACTTGGGTAAAATACTTACAGAAGTCAATGGGAGGTTTGCTGGAGGTTTCTGAAAGTCATTATGCTTATTTTCATGATAGAAAATAGTTGTAGAAGAGTACTACTACAGGAAATAGAAGAAAAAGATTCATACTTCACAGTGTTGCTTCTAATAAGGATTGCATCTTAAAAAAGAAAAAAAGTAAAATTATAACCTGATGTCTTAAAACATACAGTATGCTCCTTTGAGTAACTTCAGATAATATGTATTTTTCCTTTATACTAGAGAATTTAATAAACTGCAGATATTTAAAACATCTTCCTAACCTGCACAAACTACAATAACATGGACTTAAATTCTCACTTTCTAAAAACATCTGTTATACAGACACTATGATTAATACAGAAGTTACAACACAATTTAACTTCCAGATTTTTTTTGTCTACCAATACTAAGCACGACTGCATACCAATCTGAGAATTCAAGTCATATTCATACCACTCAGCACAAGTGTGTCAGCTAAGTTAAACTGTATACTAAATATTCTTAACTGTCCATCACGCCCACTGCATATATTATACACAGAATGATTATTTATAGGTAAAAATCCTGGCCTAAGTGCTGACCTAAAATGCCAGAGGATCACCAATGTAATCAAGTAATCATTAATGAAATCAATGGGTCTACATCTATCATCTGTATTTTCACCTCTAATAGCTTCTAGAAAAAGGATTTTTCCTGAACCATCACATGGTAGCACTGTCATCGCTAAATCATGTGCCAGAGGTGGTTACAAATACGCAAAGTTTTATTTTTAGGGCTCAAATCATTTGCTTAAACGTAGCTTTCAAGCGCCTCTGCAAAAGCCTTACAGCTTCAACATATTTGGACACAGCTAGCAAATATGACTTCTGAGATTCCTGGCTTTTGGGAAAAGCAGCAAGAGGTCAGAAGATGCATCAAGTTGTACCAAATATCTGTGTTTAAGCAAATGCACTGAGTACTTACTGTACAGACAGCTAGTGCATGTGTATTAAGCTGTACCTTTCCATCTGTTCTTCAGACAGTCTTAATCTCAGCACAAATGTAAGAAAATCAAATTCCTTCTGTTTCTGGCCAAACACACACAAAATTAGATATTAATGAGAAACTGCTTGTGGAATTCCCCTTTATGCTCTCCATGTCTCGGCTGAGGAAATTCATACTCTATCTCTGCAAAGTAAACTGGCTGTAACGCACAACATTTCTTCTGACTCTGGCAGAAACTGGAATTCTAAGGAAGAACATCAGTTTCATATTTTATATAAATACTGAGATCAGTCCTGACAGAGGTTCACAAACATAAGTCCTGACTGTGCAAATCAAGTCAAACTGCATTTCCCCTGACTCTTGAATTTTCCTTTCAAGATTATGAGATTGGATTTTATGGACTAGATGTACGTAAGCTTTCACACCAGCCAACTTCGCCTACTGATTTCAAATGTTCACCGAGATTTTCTAAGATGGTTATTGTTTGCTCTTGCTCTCACCTTTTGTCATCATGTACCACAAAATATACTGGGAAGACAAGCTGATGGGTAGAGCCTTTTCTCAAAAACCTCCCACTGAATACCTCTCTGTAAAGCTCATCCAGTGTGCTGTCAAATTCCAAATACAAATTTAAAAATACAGAGACTTATCTGTATTTATTCAAGATCTCACAGAGATGGCAAATAGATAGAACAGAGTTTTAAGATAAATAATATCCTCTGCTGTCTGATCTTCACTTCTGTAAAAAAAAACCCAAAACCCAGCACTGATAGAAGCATTCAAGCTGCAGCTCGTATTCATATGACTCTACAGATTTTATTTCACTCATGCTTGCTTTTTTCACTGGCAGTAGTGGTGTTTTTAGATGGCTGTATTTTCCCCAGTATGTCCATTAAGAACAAGACTTTTGGTTCAGAGCACTGAAAGATCTGGTAGTGCAATGTGCACCCACAAAGGAGACATGGGTTTGGATTGAAAGCAACCTCAGGGACCTTGGTCAGTGAAGTACAGACATATCATAACCACACATTTATTGAAATGGGAGACTCCTCACGCAGAGTGTTACTGTTGAATTCTTGAGTGTTTTTCTTTCAGAGGCTTTGAATACTGTCTTTGAATTCAACAAGAAATCAAATTAGGACTCCTGGGTTCCATTTGCAGCTTGCCACTTACCCATGATAAGATATTTGGCAAATCATTTAAATAAATATGCTTCAGTTTACAGAGTAGAAATACTGCACATGGGTGTAGTAAGACTGATGAAAATTACTACAGCAGTATTATTAAAGTGCTTTCTCCCAGATTCTTAACATTCCTTATCAAAGGTTCTCTTAACTCTCTTTGCTTAATTTTAAAGCCAACTCATTTTCTTAAGAAACTCATCAGAAGACAAAATTCTTTAAACATTTAAAAATTTCCTTGCAGACGTTTGAAAAGTATTTTAGAATAAGGCTAAATATGATACCAGAAGATTTATGAAATGATTGCCTTCCAGTCCCAGGGGAGCTAGGCATAGCATGCTAGTATCTCTTTACATGTCTTTATTTGACTTCAGTTACAGTACTGGGTAAGTGTGAGAAAGGATAGCTGTTCCCTTCTCCATCACCTCACTCCTGCCACAGAAGCCATTCTGTTTCATTCAGTTTGTTCTGTGCTTGGGCTCTGCTAAGCAAATATTGGTTCATATAACTTTTCCAAACCAGTAACATTATCTTAAATTCAGTCTTTTAATGTACAAATTAATGTTCACCAAAACCCTGAGGACCAGATCTAGCAGATTAGAAGTACTAATTATTTAAGAGAGACCAATAATTCCTATAAAGCCAAATTTAGCAATAGTGTGTGGTACTCATGCTGAGACCAACTGACACAATCACTCAGCGCTAACGTTTACTCATACTGCATGCAAAAGTAGAAAGTAAATGAAAACTATTTAGGAGCTACTAAGAACTTTTACCTCTATACATAGTGTACCAAATAAGAGAAGTCTATCTTACCAGTACTATTCAGCAGCTTTGTTTGTGACATGAACAAAGGGACTGAGTGCACCCTCAGCATGTTTGCAGATGACAGCAAGCTGAGTGGTGCAATCATGCAATGGAGGGAAGGGATGCCATTGAGACAGACCTCAGTAGGACTGAGGTGGGCCTGTGAGAGCCTTACCAGGTTCAACAAAGCCAAGAGCATGGTCCAGCTTCTGGGTAGGTACAATGCCAAGAATAAATACAGGATGGGAAACAGCGGATTGAGAACAGCCCTGTAGAGAAGGACCTAGGGATACCAGTGGATTAAAAGCTTGACATCGACCGACAACATGTGTTTGGAGCCCAGAAAAGCAACTGTGTCCAAGGCTGCACCAAAAGAAGCGTGGCTAGCAGAGAGAGGGAAGTGATTCCCTCTACTTTGCTCTCATGAGTTTTCACTTGCAGCTCTGAATCCTACTCTAGGACCTCCAGCATGCAGCTGTTGGAGAATGTCCAAAGGAGGCCATAAAGATACTCAAAGGACTGGAGCACCTCTCCTGTGAAGAGGGGCTGAGCAAGCTGGGCTTGTTCAGACTGGAGAAGAGAAGGCTCCAGGGAGACCTCACGGCATCCTTCCAGTACCTGCAGGAGTTCTACAAGAAGCTGGAGAGGGATCCTTTAACAGAGTACAGTGATAGGACAGAAGGTAGTGGCTTTAAAATAAAAGGGCAGATTTAAATAAGACATTAAAAGAAATTCTTTATTTAGAGGGTTGAGAGGCACTGACTCAGGGTGCCTAGAGAAGCTGTGGATGCCTCATCCCTGTTTAAAGCCAGACCGGATGAGGCTTTAGGTGACCTGCTCTAGTGGGAGGTAGGTTGTAACTAGAAGTTACAAAGTCCTTTCCAGTCCAGCCCAAACCTTTTCTGCAATTCTAGGACTTTCTCAGAACATACAAAACAATTTTACAGACAGAACCAGAGAAGCCAAGCCTAAGATTTCTAGAACAACTCCCTAATTTCAGTTACTCAGCTCAAGGCACACACACAGAAGAATCTTGGTTAAGTTTTTAACTGCTTCATGCAGACTTTCTTTACAGTCTGTGAACAGAAGTAGGCATTTAAACAAGAGTATTTTGGATGCCTTTCACTGTGATAGGGTGAATCACACCTCTGAGTACCTACTACTCTCCAGCTAACTGCAACCGAAGTTGAAATAAGGAGATAAGATGGAAGTACCTGCACCATATGCAACTAAATGCTAGTGACCTCATTTTCAGAAGCTCTGAGCATTTCTGACTCTTAATGAAACCCATAAAAGCTACAAGTGCTTAGCCCTTACTTGAACCAAAGATGCTTAAAAGGGAGCTTTCCAGAGTTAAAACACAATAAATAGGAGATCATGTTGTGAATTCATTAACAGTTTGTTAATTTAAAACATTAACATCATAAGCACAGACTAGGAGCTTTACCACTCCTGCAGTCATTTTCGTTGTGATATCACCTCTCCAGTTACACAGAATGTAATCTTCCGACTGGACATGAGGAAGTGAAACATACGATGCTCCACTACAAACACCATTATTTTAACCACAACAGGACCTTTGGTTGTACCTGACCAGGAAGACTTTCTGATTAGCTCTTCTATTGCGATAGCATGCATTATCATCATTTTTCAGCACGCAGGATTGTTACTAAGTGAGATTCTACAGTTTTCAGAGAAGTCGCATAGTTACTTTTTTTGCTCTTTGCAAGTATATTTTTTTTTCCTTTCCACTTCAAAGGAAAAAAAAAAAAAGAAATCTGATCTCCATAGACAGAAAATTAAGTAGTGCTAGGATGGTCAGTATACCCAGTAGCCATGCAAACTGGCCTGGTAAATGAAAGCACTGAAATAGTTGCAACCAAAATAAGCAACAGAAGGTGGGAAAAGAAATGCATAATTACTCCAGCTAGAGTTTGATACATCAACTGGGGCAATACACTGTACACAGAACACACACTACAACTAGCAGTAACAATACTTTTGCATGCCTTACTATCTGTTTACTAAATCCCAGGTACCTGTGATATACCAAATTAGAAAGAGTTTAAATTAACCTAGCTTCTGCCACAAAAATGTCAGTTTCATCAATCAGTTGTTCAAATCTCACTGGCAAGAAGATTGCTCAAAAACACAAGATAGTCAATTCAGTCATGAATATGATCAGTTTAAATTTACTCCATACTTTGCATGAGGTCTTCATGCTTGCTGGTAGTGCATGTTAGAAATAGTAGAGAGGAGCTGAAAGATAACACAAATTAACAGAATCACCCTTCTTTCTCATATAGCCACCCTGACCTTCCAGGATCAAGTTGCTAGACTAGTAGTGAGGAAGTGGCCACAAAGTAGTGGAGGCAAGGTCTTTGTGGCTGTCCTTTTCTTCCCCTTCACTAAGTGACTTTTCAGGGACTTTCCTGCATGTTAAGCATCTTTTTTGCATTGCTTAATATTGTTATTAATAATTCATATTTTTGTCTTTCTCCTCTCACTCTGACAATTTTTATTTTTAATCAATGGGCATGTGTCAAATTGCTTTGTTATTTATTTATAATGTAAGCTGACAAAAGAATGGGAAGTGTGGTATAAAGCTCAGAGAACGTTTCTCTCCTATCACTGATATTCTCAGTAATAACTCACTGTCTTGTTCTAATCAGTAGAGTCCAAAAGCTAATTTTGTCTCAAATAATGGAGGACATATTTAGCACAACTGTGCAACTGCATGTCTCTCTTCTGTCTTCATGTTCGTGTACTGAAATAAAAGTTGAAAATGTACTTTTGTTTGTATGCAAGTACATTTTCTTTGGGAAAGAAAACAAGTAGAGCTCACAAAGATGTTACTAATGTACCAGACAAATGTATTACTCAGATCACTGTGTTCTGGTCCCCTAATATATCAACATTTTTACAAGCTGTTTATGGCAGAAATCAGTACCACTGTTTCCAGCTATCAAAAATCATACAAAATCACTAACTTGCCCAAGACTAGAGAAAAAGTCACTAGCACAAAATATGCTTCAAACAGCAGTCCACCTTGTCTTACAATGCATAGAGATTGGAAAACAAATATTTCCTCACTGAACATGTGAAAAGAAAGCCATTGATTACAAATTGGCTTCCACATTATGTGTTTGGGATTTGAGTCTTACATCCCTTTTACGCACACGGTTTACTTTGATTGTTATTTGAGTACTCATCTACTTACTCTCTAGAACTCTTATTTTCCCCAATTGTTTCACCAGCTGAATGCAATTCAGTGTGGTGACTGTTCCTGAGACAGAAGTCAGCACTATCTGGCTGAGGGAACAGTTTGTTGGAGCTTGGGATTGTTTTCATCTGCAATGTTTGCATGTTGAACAGCACCACACAAGGGCAAGGGTAAGTCACTTAAGATAAAGTAACATACAAAATGAAGAAAAAAAAAAGATTAGTCACACTTCTTTTTTGTTTGTTTTTAACGTATAGGATAGTGTCCATTTTAAGAAGGACATAGACTGAGGTTGTCTCCTTAGATTCCTGCCTGAAAAGCTCTTTCTTCCCATTTTCTTATGTAACCACTATGTGTGTTGGGTGCTCAGCTGGGACACTGAACTTTTTATCTCAAAGTCTACTGAGAGGCTTGGAGCACTGAAGTAACATCCCTTTATATCACATGCCAAGCACAATGTAGTATCAGTAGATACTAGGTCCAGCAATTCTCTATTACAGCTCTGAGAATCAACCAAGAGACACAGAACAGCAAAAATCTCAAAGCAACAATACGGGTTGGCCAGCAAATTTGAGAAGGTGAGTCAAAGAAAGCAAAGTAGGAGATGATGTTGTTGGAGCTGTAGTTTGAGGAGTGAGAGAAGAATTCATTTTTAGAATAAACTGCCATAGTCTACTTACACACATGGGCTTTTATTTTCAAGCTAGCTGGTGTTTCATTCTGTCGTAATTAATCCACCATGGAAGGGAGAATTGCTTTGATGTCATCCTAGCTTTAATTCTTTTTTGAGTGCCTTCTTCAGCAGCACATCATGCTGTGAATACGCATGGTTTTCAGAACAATGATTCTCCTTCCCAGGATACAAAGAATGCAAAAGCCTATTTCTTAGGAGCAAAGGGCAGTTGGTAGTCATATATTCTCCATCGTAAGCCTCCTTTTGATATGGTTAGTGGTGAATCTAGACCTCATCATAACCATAACAGAAGTGGACAGTTCACATATTTCTGCTGTCGACACCACTAGGAAGTGAATTCCCCTTCTACAAAATAAGGGACAATTCAGACTCTAAGTGACAAAGAAAAATCAGAAACATTTAACACAGAGAATCTAGATGACTTCAAAATTGGAATACACGGCCCAGGGAGAGGAACTGAGCAGTCCAAAACTTGTGACACAGCTAAGGAATTAAATCCAGAAACAAGCCTAAAACTTCAGACCTCAGAAGGCTAGACAGTGTTTTCCTCACATACCTTCCTCTCTCATGAGAATCTTACAGAATTAGTCTTGTTTCTATTTGTGTCACAAGTTAGGAATGGCACAGGATAGAGCAAAGGGTTCTTGTCTAGTATACTTCATAAATTCATGGATTTTACAAGGCCAGAGAGAAAACCCACTGGATGCAAAGACAATCTGGGCTGCAAGACAATTAAAAGCACAGCAATTCTGAAATACAGACAGCATTCTGGAAAGCACCAGCTCTCCTGGGATATATAATAATGCCCGTTTTTGTTCATTTACTTCCCAAATCTGATTCAAGAACACAAGTGAAAGTGGGTACGTGTAGGAGTGAGATTTTCACAATATCCAGTACTGGCATATTTCAGCTTAAATGTATGGTAAACCTCACATTGAGTGCAGTGCAATCAAATAAAGGCATTGCCGATTTCTGAAAATCTTGAGCTAAAAACAAACATGAAAACAAATCTAAAATAATCATTTAGTGTCAGTGTATACCCAATACTTATGGGTGGCCCTGTCTTTTCTCACCATAAATGTTTAATCTCCTACCAGCTGAAGTTTCTTTTTCTTTCATAGAATGCTTGACATACAGATGCATTTATACAATGATATAAATGTACAGAAGTCTAGTGGGGGAAAGAAACTGCCACAGGTATTAGAGTTAGCTTTATATTAGTACTCAAGTATCCATATGCATCTGGATACATACAAATATCCATATATATCCTATAAGTACCCATCTGCCACAATGTGAACACAATTTAATATGCTCCTTGGTATGTGTTCAGCCTGTAATCTACTGGAGATGGAAAAAGGGAGGCTTGTCCTAGTGGAGAACTGACACTAGCCTAGAGTAACTGATTTGATGCCTTGGCTCTTGGGATGAGGGAGTCAAAACAACTGGACCATCTGAAGCATCACACATCCTGCAAGAACAAGTATCAGCTTAAACTGAAAACAGATGTGCATGCTTGCAAGACTACCGATCTTCTGAGTTAAAAAAAAGAGGAAAAGGTCATAATATCTGTTTTTCCTTCCTCAATTGCCACTCATTTGGTGTGTGACCTACATAATTTCTTTGTGCTTCTATTTCCAAATTCCGAAGTAAGAAATACCATTATGCACAAACACCGTGTAATGGTGTGGTATATTTTGATTAAGACCTTTGGAGATCTCCTGAAGAGGCAAGGTATTTATTGTTCATAAAATAATTAGAGGTTTTCATGTAAAAAATACTAATATTATTGCTGATGTGAAACCAAAAGCTTATCTTTTGATGTATTCACTTTTCAAAATATTTACTTCTACTTTACCAGCCAGCCTTATGCAGTACATGTATTCTGAAATTGAGTAGTACTAAGAGGCAAAGTCTTCTGATTATACATATACACCATGAGCAAATTTAACACTGCCTCATACACTGGGTAGACACTTTGACCTTCAAGAGATGTCAATCAAGACAGAATTTATCAGTCCCTTTCTCTGCCCAAGTTTTCCACAATCTTGCTCATGTGTTTTATAGTAATGCTTTCTTTTTCCCTGTTCATTAACTATTAAAATAAAATATTCACATGATAGATTTTTTGACTCAGTTTTCCCACAGCAATCATATTTCCTCACCCAAGAGGATGTCAGGAAGCTTCTTTAATTGTTTCTGAAACATTTACAGCTTTTCATGGAAAAGGTAAAGCATCTGTCTCCTAAAGGAGAAAAATCATTTCCAAACGGATGAAGCACCTCAGCTCCCCTCTGAAGCACACATGTATTCCTTCTCTCAGAGAGAAAGAATATGAGACACAGACATTATAATCGGTTCATCAAGTTCACACCTCCTGGATAAAGAACAGAACTTCTGTCTTTCCCCCTTTAGTTGCAGTCTTTAACCTCAAAGCAATGCTTCACTGTTGAAATACCTCTGGATCGAGTGACAGATCAGAGTGTATCTGAATTAAACAAGTCATCCAACAAGCAACAGGCTTGGCTCCCTTTTGGTTCATGTTCTCCCCCTCCAAAACATCTTGGCTAGGACTGCTCCCTCCAGAGTTCCTTGTGCTTCCCTCTGGCCATTACCTGCAGCACCTCCAGCTCCCTCCCTCCTTTGCTAAGAGCAGGGCACCCAGAACACATGCTGAGGAGCACATCTGCCAGCTGCCAGGCCACTTTGTGAGTGATGTCCACCCTGCTGGCTGCACAACCCTTGCATGTATCTTGAGTGCATGCTGCAGACTCTCCTGCAGGGTAGGAGGAAGTTTTGCCTCTTTCCTGCTTCTGGTTTTCATAAAACTGGTAGGATTCAGTCTCCTTGTAGCCTCTGTCCTTCTGTCAAACATGCTTAGAACCAGATGGTTTCAAGTTAACAAAGGAGGACAGTAGTCACTTAAAATAAGGTATCTTCTCATTTAAGTGACTTAGCACTGTAAACACTGCTGTCACTTCATTTGTATTTTTCTGGACTCACGATCTGTTGTTCAGAGTTGTCGCATTCCACAGTGGCTATCCCATGTAAAATAGAAGCCTGCTTACAGCACAGAGAATTTACCTCCTGGCAGCTCACTTGTGCTCATCTTACATGAGAGTTGCTTTCACTTTTTTTAAAAACAAACAAACAAACAAAAATTTAAGAGCTGAGTGGAGGAGGAATGGAATTTCCAAAAAGGCTGTAGGATTTGTAAAGAAAAAAGCCAGAGGTAAATGTATCCACTGTTGATGCTAATAGTTAAACACACTAAAAAAGTTAAAAAAAAAAAAAAAAAGACCTTAAACTTTAAAACATATCACACACTATGAGGGATGGCTGCCACTGATTCAGAGATCACAGCATCTCTTTTCAGAAGGTGCATTTATCTTCTTCCTCTATATGTATGTATCAGGATGGAACTGTATTTTATAAACACCAGGTTAAACTGCTACTATGAAAACGGCAGGTTAGGAATGAGCTCCACATGTGTACTGAAAAAGTTCTCTGCTGCAAACAGAAAAATGGGGGCTGATGCTCGGAAGAGATTAGGGACATCTCAGGAGCAGATAAAGGAAAAAACAGCAGAAAGCTATGTTCTCACAACAGGAAGCCGTGGGAAGCTTGGGGAGGATACTGAGCCACTGTTTGCTAAGGACTTGAATTAATGTACTACAGCTCTGTAATGATCAACCCCACTGAACAAATCCTGACTGGGATCCTCTGAAGGAATGAATTGCATCAGCTTACAGGCTTGACACCAAGAAGGTATCATATGAATAGTACTCTGCCCTCATAATGCAGGTCCTGAAGCTCAGCCTCCTATGTGCAAACCAGACAAATTGTATGTAAAACAAAGATTACCGGATTTCACTCATTCTGGCTGAGATTTCCTTATCTAATTACAGCCCTGCAGTGACCCACTGCAGTACAGACTCCCTGCACAGCAGAGTGCTTCAGTTCCTCTCCCATCCTGTGGTCCTTGTGCCAGGCATAGCTTGACAGCTTGTTCTCCTGTCTGCTAAGCATATTGCTTGCATCTATTGCCCAGAGCATGAGAAAGCCATGGCCCTGTTCTGTGCTCAAATATCTTCATACTCGAAGTCCTTGCAGAAGTAGTGCTCACTGTATCAGCATAAGGCTGTGGATTCTATGATCCTCAGCTGCCATGGAGCTGCTCACATGCTGACTCCTTGGCTATCCTGGCCCATTACTTAATTTTCTAGCCCCTCTAGAATGAGACGCCAATGCATTGGTCTCATGTTTTGAGCCCAAAAGCAAACAGTACATTTGGGGAGCCTTGGACTTATTTCAAAATAGATGAAGTCCTTTTCCAAAAGAAACAGGAACATTAAAGCCTTTGTAATGGAAACAGTGAGACATGGACTTCAGACTGATCAAGCTGAAGCAATCTTCAAGGCAATCTTTTGTCACAAACAAGAAATGTTTTCACTCCCCTCCCCTTAGCAGACCCCTATGATATATTTTATTTCCTTTGCAACTGGCATCAACTCATTTTCCAAAGTCAAATACATCTACCTTCCCTGCTTCTCTCTCTTGGGACTCTTTGAAAGAGAGGGAAAACATCAAGACTAGACTGTGTTGTGGGATTTAACATGTCAGGAGAGAAACAACAAAGAACACAATTACAGGAATGATTTATAGTACAAAATAAACTTGGAAAAGAGTGAGCAAAAACAGCACAGACCCATCATCTGAGCTATAGCAGCAGAGATCCTTGCATAAATTCCCCTATAATTTGCCTCATCGCAATCACTTGGTTTAGAATTCAGCTGAACTCCGATTCAGCACTGTCTATCACTCACATTCATAAAACCAGTGCTGCTTTGAGATATACTGCTTGATCATAAAAAGATTTCCTTCCTCGACTCTCTGCCAGCACAAAAATCCCAGGTAAATATGCCACATGATATCACCTCCTCATAGCACTTAGAGCTGTGAGTCGTGCCCAGTCACCATTTATCCCTTGAAGTGCTGTGTTGAGAGGACTGATTCATCACCATATCCTTTACTTCTAAGAGTACTGAGTAGAGTTTCCTTGGTAGTAGCATCCATTTTGTCTACCCGATTTCTGCTTTTCTTGGAATTTCATGAGATCACATCAATTCTGTCTCACAGGAGAGTACATGCACTGGTACAAGGGGAAAAATCAGTGTCAAATGAATAAATGACTTCATCAAAGGACACTATCACTGCCTGGCATCTACATACATCTCAGATGTCATCACGTAATGCTGTCAAAACTCGAGCAGTTTTGGACAGCAGCTCTCATTCTGTCACTGGTATCTCCCTAACAGGGTGCTTGTGGCATCTCTCTGAGTTTCTTGGACCATTTATACAACATTCTGAGTACAATCCAAAATGAATCCATTCTTCTGCTATCTTTCAAAGCTCCTGCCTGTTACTGGCCACCTTTCACTTCCAAGGTTAAAGAAACTTGTTCGAACTTATGTCAGCTTGAATTTTCTGTTACTCCACAGTGAAGGGATTGCACAGTAACACAAGCAGCGCTTTAAATATGCAGAAAAGAAGTAACACCTTTGTAATGAAAAGGTGAGCCTTCTAGAGAGCAGGGTCACTCTCTAGCAACAATGTGCAAAGAAATGCTAAAGCCTCATTACTACTCACAGCTATAGGGAGATCTCCTTCAGCTCAGTCGATAATTGTGTGGAACGAAAGGACCAGGACCACAAAGGTAATTTGTCTGAAAATAGGAACAGGAGAGAAATCTTTTCTCTAACAGTTTCATATATTTGCAGTTGGCTATAGTATTCTCCAGTCAACACTCCCACCTTTTACACAAAAGCAGAAAAAAGCTCCCCATTACTTTCTTTTCTATCAACTGCTCGGAAAGTTTTCATTTTAACTTTTCAAAATGTTTTATAGGTATTATGACTTGTTTTTCCAAGTTTTATAAATGTTGTTCCAACCTGATGACTAATGGAAAAACCTTTTTATGGAAAAACTGTGAATATGACATAACAGATTTTGTAACTCTAAGAAAAACTTCTGTATTGGATAATTTATCTAGAATACTTTCTCATACCTGTATTCATTGCTTTTAAAAATGTGACTGGAATTACTGTGATTTTTTTTTTTTTCCTAATAGACCAAATACAGAAACACTTTCATTGCAACCTAAAATTTAAAGACTTCGATGCCTGGGCAGTAAGGATCGTGCTCATTATTTGCCCTACCCTAATTTTTCTTTACTAGCTAAAATTCTGAATAGTTATCCTCTTGGTTTCCCACACCTTATTTTTGCCATGAATTAAAAGACCTTATTTTCTAGTAATCATATCTGAAAGTTAGTAGTTCGGATCTTTATCTTTTCCTCCACCAGCAATGTAACAATCATTTTATCACCTTGTACAAACTGCTTGCTTTTGCAAGGATAACTCTACTGACTTTTAGGGAAAGGCAACACCATTTCAAAGTCCTCTGGTATTCCAAGATTGAGTGCGTTTAAAGTCACCTGTAACAATGAAGGACTCCCAGTCCTGCACTACGGCACTGATTCAGTAAGCACACACCACAGATTTCAGATGGACAACTCAAGCTTAAAATCACAAAATTTTATTAATGATATTATTAGTAATGCTGTTATTTAGATTCCTTAGCCATTGTCATTCTAAATTGGGATTTATGGTAGTATGAACAAAAACGCAAATAAAATGCATCTGAAGTTACCAATAGCTCAGAGAAGCCCACTACTGTCAAAATATATAGAACTGAAAAAGTGTGGGCATAGCTCCTTAACCACTGGTAGGCTGGCTCTCTCATATTAAACCTGTAAGAAGAGGGAAAGATGACTAGAAGGAGGTATTGATAGTGGTGTGATTTTTCCTAATGACCTACACGTGTTGTTTTGCTTGATGCATTAAACACATTTTGGAAACACATTTTGAGCAACTTCAGTATTCCGCATTTCAGCAGTAATACACCTTTCCTTTTTCGTCTTTTCCTATACAAAGTTTTGCTTTGGTGTGGGAAACAGACCTTAGGAATGTTGTGCAAATTACTCAGCAGGTCAATGACCACAAGAATTCAGTGTAGTCTCTCTACCTTTCAGCACTCAGCTCTAGCCATGAAACTTACCCTCTTAGCAATGGATTGCTATTTTTGGCATACAAATGCTTTCCCTGCATCATCTACCATAAATACAATTTTAAAATGTATGTATTTGGACTCTTTGAGTTCACTCTTTCACTGTTTCTCTCTTTTTTTTTTTTTCCTCCTGATTTTTATGGGAAATACAAATTCTTTGCACTGCAGAAGCTGAATTGGTAGCTGCACCTGTTAGCTCTGTGATATCTCAGGGCTCTCTAGTTAGTCACCTGCTTTTTGAAATCCATGTTATCTCTTGGACAAGTGAGAAGGCACTGAAGTATGCTTTATCACCTTCATGACAAATATGACCATCTATATCATATTAAAATGTACCAGGTCAGTCAGAATTTTTAATAAGGAAAAGAAAAATCAGGTGAAAGACAGGAGGTGGCAAGAAGAGAATGGAAAAGAGGTGAGTGAAGTGAAAGGAATAGGAATAAAACTCACTTGCTTCAAGCCAGAGTCAACTTGATACGTTCTCCTAGGACCCAGGGACTTCTTAATACATATTTCTATAACATGCCTCTATACATCTGCAGAAATAAAAAGATAAAATTTGAGAATCCAACCTGGAAAAAGCTTGATCCAGATATTTTAATGTGCTTGCTGGTCTTGAATTGGTGCATAAAATTTATCTCTTTCAAACAAATGAAGACTCTGCTTGCCTTCCTAGGAACAGTCCCAGGCTTTGACTGTGTTTTCCAGGAAGAGTAGACCGATGCCTGATTCATACTTCCACTATATCACAATTGTGCTATTGTTTGGCATCCTCTCATCTCTTCCACGTCAGTTGCAGATGGTCTAGAAGCCACAGAACAAGCTGTACTTCCTTTAGATGTCAGCCATCACCATCTTGTGGAATCCTTCCAGTTTACAATACACAAGGTACAATGATCCTTCTCCACAGATCTCTCTTTTGACTTTAAAAAACTTTTCACAGGATTCTGTAGTTAACCTTTCCTAATATCCGAGATAAAGAAATAACTCGCCTTGCTTTCATCTTGTAACATATGATCAGTTCACAGCACTCATCTCAGACATAGGAAACAGAAATTTTGGGGATCACTCAGCACCTCATACAGACTCCAAAGGAAATTCTTTGAAGAATACTATAAATGCTGACACGTAAGTTAGTGTTATGCCATCCCTCCGGATTTTGCTGTCAACCCTGATCACCTTTCCTCAAATATGATGTAAAAGAAACAAAAAGGGTTCAGAGTAAAAAGACTCATTAAAATCCCCAAGAGCTTTCCATATGCAAAAAGTTTAGATAGCTTCGAACTGGCAGAGAAAATGAAAAAGACTGAACAGAGGAGATGTGATATAAATGTAACCGCACGGAGAAAAGAAAATAAGTCTGACCAATCAAGAAAAGAGGAAACAGACATTAAAACTAAACGATAGAACATTAAAACCAATAAAAGGATTATTATTTTTTATCCACATAATATATAATTAACTTGCAGGACTCTGCACCAGGACATCACAAGGGCCAAGAGGTTTTGAGAGTTTAAAAAGAACTGATTATTGCCATAATAACAATAATACAGAACCATTACAAAAATGATAAACATAATTACAGAAATAACTGGCATAGTAGTCAACAAACAGAATATCTACAATTGTGTACAATAAAGTATGAGGACTGAAAACTGTGTTTAAAGACATAAGCCAACTTCAGTTTGATGCAAGCTAAGGAGAAACCACCCTCATGGGAAAGGTTAAATCACTGTTACTCCTCACCAGGAACTTAGCAATTTGTTCTTGAGGGACCAGATATTGGGTTCTGTAATGCTTACAGCGTGGTGAGGCTGAGAGCTCATCAGTCAAGTGTTCAGCTGGGATACCCAGTAGCATAGGGCTGGCACAACTAAGATCACATCTCTGTAAAAAAAATACATTTCTGCTCTTCGTGGGTACTATTTTCATTTACTTGTGGAAAGTGAGATAGTTTTGGCCATTCCTTTTAATGTGCATCATGAAGTGGGGGCAGAAAGGAAGAACAGTTTGTAGACATGACAAAAAATGCTAATGATACTGTTTTGTTATTTGGTGATTAAGATGTGAAAAAGAACCATGTAAGACAGAGATATTCCTAACCGTCTACAGATCTCCACAGCCTAACAGATCTTTTCAGTACTAAAAAATGAAGTTTACACATGGAATAAACAAAAAAAATCAAATTCTCCATGAAGCTGAGCCAATTCACAGGTAGCCAAAAGTATCTGCTGTCTTCTGGATTTCTGTCCATGTGGGGTCTGTGATGCATAAATTCGGGTAAAATGGTGAGGTAGCCTTTCCCTCAGTGGTGTAATTAAAAGAGTTTTTCTCCTTTAAAGAGCTGCCCACTTCCACGAAACATGTGGAAGCTTTGGTATCTTGGACACTTTTCCCCATCAAAGTTGGCTATAAGTGGCTATACTCAAAAGATTAAAGGAATTGGAGACAGGTATGCAAACAGAGGGGTTTCCAGAAATCTCATTTCCTTGGGGAGCTGCACCTAAGGGATACATATGGATGTGGGCAGACTCAGAGAGTTATTTTGGAAAAGTTCTGTCCCTCTACAGTCTCCCAGGCCCTCCTTTGTGGAAATCAAACCGTATCAAAATGCAAGCACACAGAGGCATGTTTCTGCCCACACTCAATTGCTGTATAGATTTTTTTTAAGTAGAGGCACTTCTAGAAAAGCCAGACCCCAATTAAACTAAATAAAATTGGACTCCTAAAAGCTTGTTTTGTTTTCATGTACATCGGCATATCCGAGCTGACACAAACGCATGCACTACAATCTAGAGGACTACCTCAATTTCCCTAACTTTCAGACAGAATATAGCAGTGAAACCAAAATATCAGTTCCTTGCAAACAACAAAAAAAAGCAGTATTCTATCCATAAGCAACAGTCAGTCTAAAGCTTCAGAAGAAATATAGGCAGTAACACAGTCTTACCTGCACAAGCCTGTAATATCAGCCTTTGAGGGTTTTTTTGCATCTACTCTGTAACGATGCATTTTTAAAAATACAGTTCTAGCGCTCAGGAATGCCAAGAATTTAGGAAGAGAGCCACAGCTTAAGAGAGCAATTATTTGCCAGTAAATACTCAATTTGCTTGTCCTGTGATTTTTCTTCTCCTAACTCGCCCTCTCCATAATCCGTCTCTTGCTGCGTCATGAGCACAAGAAGTCTTTTCTTCATAACATAACACTTCAGTTAGCTATTTTGTTAGCATTAATTAAGAATTCCCTCCTCTGGTCATTTTCTATACTCTTACAAACAGCACCTTGAGCCCCGGACATTAGAAGGCAGTGAGTCAGTGTGTGGGATTCAGCCACCGTTTATAAACACCTTCAACCACATTCACCCAGTTTACAATATTCAGGACATCTCAGCTGAATTACTGCTTTGTGTCCAGTTTGCATTCAGATGGGGGCCATATGTTCCTCCATGTATTAGAGCAGAGCTCATTAGCACTGCTGCAGTCAAGCCACAGCAAACATTTTTTTTTTTTTTCTATCTTGCCTCCATTTTAACCTGATTAAAAACATTTTCTCCAGGGTAGATTTCTGGAAAAGAAATACTCAAGTCAAAAGTACTGTTAAAATGGATATGTGCAAATTTAAAATTACTTTTAAAATTAGTAGTTGCTTTTACTGCAAAAGAACTCAGCTGCACTTTAGGATTCAACTAATTAGTAAAAGCACCTTTCAAAAGCATGGAAAAACCTTCACAAAAACTGTTACAGTAACCACAAGAGCTAAATATTCGGTGAGCACCAGGACCTAGAAAAATTCAGTATTCAAGCTCTCTAAAGGATTTAGGCACATAACCTATTTTTACAGAGGGTATGCATCTGTGCAGGCAGCATCATACAACTAGATTAACACCTTGCAATAATGGGGAGAGTGGGTGTAGTTAAAAATCTGGATGTGCAAATTGTATTTCCTAAGAAATTTTGTGTAGGCAAGCCCCATTCTGCTCAATCAATAGTAGGCTGAAAAATACTATATTTGGCAAAAATTAATAAAATACAGAAGGAGTAACTTGAATCACCCACATTAATTGCTAAATGAAAATCCAGGTTCTGAAATACAAAACAAGAACACGCTTGTAGGGAGCAGCAGGGAAAAAAAAAAAAGACCCACTTGGGACTGAAAGGCATGAGAAAGATTCCATTTACATCCATTTCAAGATAGAAATGGATCACCTTTCAAAGTCAGTTTGGGTCTGGTTACTTCTTACATGAGTGAAAACAACTAGTGGGCCAAAGACTGATGATTAACATCATGTCATGGACACTTTACTACCTTTAGAATTACCATGTGTGTTTTATATGATGTAGTGATATTGCAGAAAAACATTTTCCACATATTCTAGCCATAAGATGATAAAATGCAACAATAATCCCTTGCATACAAACATGCACTCTAAAATAACACATTCTGAGCATGAACAGCACCAGAGCTATCAAACATTCTTAATAAAAGGCATTTATTTTGTGCAAATAATGCATTTATTTTGCGTGTGTCCCGTGTATCAGACAGTAAAGAGCAACAAGTGAATAACATGCTTAAGCAATCCAGGCATCTCTGAGATTATTGTACACATATCTCAAAGTGCCATATGCCCAAATTGATTGTTATTTTACATCAGAAATTATTCAACTTTCCTCTCCAAACTTACCTGCCTAACTGTAAAGAGATCTCTGAGCTCTGAGACCACTTTCTGCACATTTAACAAAAGTGAAATAGGATGACAGAATAAATACCATGTGAAAGGTCAAAAATAAACAGACACACATACAAAACACTAAAACCCCAATGCTCAGTTCTTCCCTAAGCATGACTTCCCTGTGAACATTCTAAAAACATAAAATACACCTGATGGTTAATACTCCTAAAAGCAGGAGAACATCTAGGTGCCCACTTAGGACCCATCACTTATCCACGGACAGAAAAAAGACAGTTTTCCTTGGTTTCAATAAGATGACAGTGGACCTGTGCTCCAATGGGAAAGTCTTGGAAAACACATTCAGCTTTGGTTGAATGGACTTACATACTAACTGTGTGCAAGACAAACGGATGGTTTTCCCTTAGGCTTTAACTTAAACTGACAAAGTAGATCAGAATTAGATCTAGCTATTGTCTAGTGTATGCTATGTATAATTTAAGGAGAGCAGAAAAGAGTAGATGAGTCTTAGGAGGTACTTTCAGGTCAATTTTTTTTTCAATATTTATGTGAGAAACTGAAAATGCAACTTTGAATCAACTTTAAACAAAATGAAAGTACGTTAGAGAAAATGAAAGTACATTAATGAAAATGAAAGTGACAAATGGAATTCTGTTAAGGCTTAGAAGTGAAAAAATAAAAAGCATGAAGAAAAATAAATTCGATTTTTATAAACAACTGTAAGCAATCAGAGTTGGTTGTAAAATTCCATAATAAATAATTCTTTCTGAAAAAAAGAGGATAAGGGTTTCCTAATTTTTGTTGTCTTAAAGTACGTATTTTCACACTAATATACTAATTTGTCTTTGC